TGATTTGTTATTCACTAGATTAGCAAACTCTGTCCTTGCATCTGTCACTTTGGGTTCTTCCACTGAAAAATGGAGCTGTCTTTGTGAATAAAAAAAAAACAAGGGTTACTCAGTAAGGAAAGATCTTTTTGGATGTCAGTGTCTCTGAGCTGTCTGCATTCATTAGACACCTGAGCCCCCAAATGTGCTGTTTTCTTTTAGTCAGTATTTCCTCAAGTTGTAAATAAATCATTTTGAACCTCATCAGGCACTAATCTGTTGGTACGTTCTGCAACATTGATGTACTTTGATGTGCTTGGTGAGTTCTGATCCTGTTTCTGTAATGTTGCACCATTTGCTATATAAAAACTAGGCAGAAGAGCTGTTAAGAGATTTGTCCATCTCTTGAGACTATACTACTCGCTGAGCTGCAGAATGCATGCGTGTATGCATGTATTCAAAGTGCTGAATGGCCATTCGACTAAGCTGTCAATTCTCTATTAAAAACGTTTGGCTGGTTCTCGGATACAGAAATCTATAAAAGGAATAGGATTTGCATTGATTCATGTGGAGTTTCATAGCTTGTGCTGGGAGAGGTTTACATATTTATTTATTTTTCTCTTCTGGACTGTGGTTGCTGAGCCTTTAGTCAGTGATGCAGAGAGAATTATATGTCTTATAGAGTAGGGCATTTAATTGGGTAAGGTGACGTCAGACTGTCACTTTTCACGCTAGCTCACACACTTGCACACATATAGACCTCACTGTTTTCTCGTCTTAGTTGGCTGTGTTGAGAAAAGGTTTCTCTCTGCAACAGAGTAGTGTGAAGGCTTGAGGTCTATAATAAGAGTTCTTTCTGACCCGCTTCTCTCTGCCCTGGAAGCACTGTCTGTCACTAAGATAAGAATGAAGCTGGAGGAGGAGGGAGCAGCCGTGTGTGTGTGTGTGTGTGTGTGTGTGTGTGTGTGTGTGTGTTGAGGTAACTGTCACTTCCAATTACAAGGCCTCTTTTCTCTTGTTCACCCTCACTGGACCCAGAGACCTCCACATCGCCATTAAAATTAAGTTTGCTAACTGATACAAACCTTTCTATATGTATTCATGATATTATTACGCAGCCACTACTTCATGAAAGTGCAGGCTTTAATGGTCCGGATGATAAAGCAGACACATTAGCAATGAAAACTAGTGCTAGTGTTTCTTCCTGTGGAGCATGATATGAAACGGAACTCTGTTGTCTGGAGAGTGATGAGGTCTTTAAGCATTTCAGCACTCACGCCTTGGCAGCCTGAATAACTCGGTTTAGATTATAGGAGATAGCAGTGCTTATGTATAAGTATTTATTCATCACTTGTGGATAAAAGTGAACACAGCGCAATGCTAGTTTTGTATTTTGTTTTTATGAGAGTAGAAGATTTTTTTTTTTTTTTCGTTCACCCATTTAAGATGTTTTTAGGTCACCCATTTTTGCTGTCACTGCTATTGTTAAGTTTGTTCCACTCTGTAGTCTGTAATTCATTAACAGTGCAACGGTATCACACCAACAGTAGCAGGTTTTTAAGAGGGTTTCTAAATGCACTTGCTGTATAGTTGAATGCAAAACGTTTGCATACTCACAGGTTTCACAAATGTCTCAAATCATGTTCCAAAAATGTCACAAATATCATTACTACAAATGAGATCAATTTTAAGATGTTAACTGATATGTTAGATTTTAGTTAGAATTGATATTAGATTTTTATTTCCACTGCTCAGTGTGATATGATTATTCCCTAATAACTCTCTCCAACCTTCTTCATATCCTCTGAACAGCAATTAGTTTCTCTCAAGCTTAATAGACAGTTTCATTTATTAATGTTTATGAATTCGGTTTTTATGGCACTAGGTGGTGTAGGGATTATGTTTTCGGGGTGTCCGTCATGCATCAATCCGAGATTTTCGTTAGCGAGATATCTCAAGTTGCGAGTAGTTAAGTGTCTTTAGGATTTTTATGGAATTATCATTGTAACCTGCAGATGAACTGACATGGTCAAGGTCACAGCAAGGTCAAATGTCAGAACTGTTTTTTTCTTCAATAGCTTGCTTCCTGTTTGAAGTATGTTTTAAGGGTTTTTTTTTTTTGTGCATACAAATTTGTAACAAGAAGGACTAGACTTGTTGCAGCAAAGGCATTCCCACTGACGCTGTTGACGTCAGGGAGATAAATTGTAAAATAGATGTGCATTTCTTTCCTATTTTCTTCCTCATTTGCCATTTAACTAAACGAATAATTAACTCAGCTCTTAGTCACACACAGGCTTAACTGTTGTTTCTGTCTAGAGTGTAGACATTGGTCATTACATCTTCTTGAATCGTGAGTTATGAGGGTGAAGATATAGAAGTCAGTGTACTATATACTGTATTTCATTATGTAGAAATTTGTTTGGGTGTAATTTTTTTGGAATGTATTTGGGTATAAATTTGATTTTAATTGGCTTTATGTGTTTTTTTTGGCATGTTAAACAAAGACAAGTTGAAGTATTCATAGTCCTTGTTCTGTTTAATCTTTCAGTCCTCATACCTTTGCACTAAAGATTTTTTTTTCTTTCTGTGTGTATATGTGTGTTTATGTATTTGTAAAGGTAAAAACTGGGACTTGAGCGCCGCTCTGAGTGATTATGAGCAGCTGCGGCAGGTCCACACTGCCAACCTGCCTCAGGTATTTAATGAAGGCCGTTACTACAAGCAGCCAGAGAGCAGTGGAACCCCCCAGCACCTCAACAAGCTGGAGCAATGCCTGCAGAGGCAAGAGGAGAACACTCAGGGTACGGCAAACACCTGCACTACTGTTATCTATCAGTGATGATGTTGTTGATAAGGATAACAATGATAACAATTAGCATGTCGACTGTGATAATGATCACGTTAATACAGTTGACATGTGGTGTTAGGAGCCTCCCAGCCAGTTTTGTTATTCATCCCATGCCTTTTAAACAGCAGCCCACCATAACAGCACATGAAAATAGCACACTGAGGTGTATATCAATGCTTGAAACCAAACATGAGAATGCAACGTCAGAATCGTGTGTGTGTACAATGAAATGAAGGACAGTAGAAATGCACTTCGGAAAACACTACAGATAATGAGGTTTGAGTATTGTAAGGTTTCTGCCTATCACAATCCCTTATTTATATAGTCAAGTGCAAAAATTTGCATACCCTTAGGATTAAATAAAGAGAAGTGTAATTTATAAGACATTTTAATTGTTTAATAAAGCAAGACCAATGTTACAAGACCAAAGTAACTAAAATGGCCAATAATGTATGTGAAGATATCATTTATGGAGCCTAATTTATGTCAGTTAAGAAGGTTGCATCTGCATTTCTTTGTGTGGTAGAAAAAATATCTCATTGCAGTGAGTTTAAACACAGTCCACAGGTTCTCAAAACAATTCATTCTTTTTTTTAAAAAAATGCCACCTGCACCTACAATGAACAAAATGCTCAACACACACATTCCAAGGTTACAAACATATAAATACGTTCTATCACTGCAAATGATGGTCTGTGCACACCACTAATACATGGCCCCACAGATCTGTGTCCACCCCCTCTCATCCCTCTGTGTCTGTGTCTGGTGCAACAGAGAAGCGTCTCTCTCGGGGCATCTCACACGCCAGCTCTGCCATCATGTCTCTGGCGAGGATGCACGTGACGGGCGAGTGCACCAGGGAGCAGTTGCCTCTCGAGATGCCCATCTACACCTTCCAGCTGCCTGACCTGAGTGTATACAGTGAGGATTTCCGCAACTTCATCGAGCGCGACCTCATTGAGCAATCCACCATGGTGGCACTGGAGCAGGCAGGTGAGGGCGTGTTCAACACCAGCAACAAGGCTTAGGCTCTGCTGACTGACTGCTAGCACAGACTGTAAGCTCCAGCTTTTCTCCCTGAGTGATAAACCCACTCTGTATTCAGTTGCCACTGGTATTGTGCCTCTGTCCGCCCTCAGCCTCATCAAAAGTGTCTCTGACAGCATCTGTAACAATGTCCACAGTGTCCCTTTTGTATGAGTGCTGTCTTTCGGCTACTAGAGCCATGTGCGTGTACGTGAGCCTGAATGGAACACACCAGCATTATTTTAAGGCATTGTTTTGGATCAGTAGCAAAGTGGAGTTAAACTACCACATCAGAGCAAAGTATTCTGTAGCCAGAACTGACACGGAGCCATATCCAATTATGTTTGTGATTAAGATATTATCTGCCATCTGCCTTTGTCTTGGAGAGATTAAAATCCCTCTCAGTCACGACTCCCTGAGGGGAGCAGAGCTCAGTGCACGAAACACAGAACTCTACTTCAGCTCAGATTTCAGTAATTGTATCCTGAATAGGGAATGCAGCATTTTCTGGAAAAATTTGCATAAAAATGAAGAAAGTAATTGGAGATTTGAAGCAGTTAGTCAACCATTCCCAGAATGGACTATATTAAATTACCAGCTCGACTTTTTTAATTTATTGTGCACAACCTGCAACATGTTTTTAATCTCAGATTCTGATGTGTTGTGTGGTGTGAGTGTGAGGGTGCATGGCTGCTGTAAGTGCAGGATGTTTGTGGTGTAGCAGAGCTGAGTGAATGTAGTATGGTGTTTAGATGAACCTGAAGCAGCAGACCGGAAGGACTATGGGTGGGAGGCTAGGGAGCAGAATACTCTAAAGATGGCTGTATACTCATCCCTGGAGAGGAGAGTGGGTTACCTAGCACACAGTCACCTCATAGTACAGAAAAGGCACAATGCTATGAAGAAAACTTTCTTTGCTCCAGTGTTCATAGCTACAGCAAGAGCACACTCTCCTAGCAGTCTATATGAAGTGAAGTGTGGCTAGGTGTGACCGATACTCAGAATTTGTGCTCTGCATTTAACCCATCCAAGTGGACACACACCTGGAGCACTGCAGCAAGTAGGGGGATTGCTGCCTTGCTCAAGTCATGGTATTGAGGGTGGCAGAGAGCGCTGGTCATTCACTCCCCCCACCTACAATCCCTGCCAGACCTGAGACTCAAACCCACAACCTTCAGGTTCACTTTTAAGTTACAAGCTGAGACGCTAACCATTAGGCCACGACTGCCCTGTATGTGGTTAAGTCAGAAATTTGGGTTGGTTTCATTTTATTATTTATGAATTATAGCAATGTTTATAGGATTTGAATATAATGGAGCATTTGGGATAGAGCATTTGAATTTAATGGAGACATGGTAACAATATTTCTTGCATGTAGCTTAAATGCATACTCTTAAATACATATTCTCGCTTTTCGGCTCTGTGAAGTTGGCATCCCTTATAAATAAATTGTCACCAAAACTATACCATTTGTTTGTGCTGATTTGTGCCGCAAAAATGAACGTCTGTGCTGTGTTTGGTGTTCAAGATATTAAACATTCCTTTTTTGGCTGTGTGACGTCACTCTCCACCCCATGTCGTCCGAATGGTATTAGAAAGATCATAAGAAATGATAAATACTGGCTTCAAATACAAACAAAAATGCAAACAATTGATTTAATATAAAGTCGCAGTATGGTTCAACATGCTAACAAGATTCTCAATAGTGCACACAAGTAGTGCATACACTTTCACACAAGTGATGCACGTCATCACATACAGAGCTTTTATGTTATGGATTTGAGCTTGATTACGGCACTGGCAATAAAAGCTTTCCATACCTTAAAAAAAAGGATAAACGTTAATAGCAGCACCACGCGAGCACAAACGAACTAGAGATGTTTGTACCAGATGAACAGACAGCACCTTGCGTTGCCATCTGTGTCCTACAGAGAGTTTGAGGTATATCAGACTTTATAGATATGCAGGGCAGCGCAGACCGATGCGCGTATGACATCAAAGTACCGCGAGAACGATTCGAGAATTCCGCGGTACTGATCGCAGCACTGTGCTCTCGCGGCACTTTGCTGTATACACCGGTCGGTCTGTGCAGCGCCGCGTGAAGTCTAAACGTAGCTAATGTCTAAACATGGGAACAAGTTATGTTGTTTCTTTCTACGGCACAAACCAGCACAATTCGAGCACAAACGAACGCCACATGTTTTGGTTGATTTAAACGACATGAGGTGGAGAGTGACGTCACTGCTCCCCAAATTCCTCTTGTTATATCTCGGGAAGGAGAGTAATTACAGGGTTTGTTTTAATGGCACAAACCGGCACAAATCGAGCACAAACGAACGGCACCGATTTGATACGATTTGGACGACATTGGGTGGAGAGTGACGTCACACAGCCAAAAAAAGACTGTTTAATATCTTGAACACTAAACACAGCACAAACGAATGGTATAGTTTTGGTGACAATGTATTTATAAGGGGTGCCAACTTCACAGAGCCTCGCTTTTCCTAATCTCTTACCTGTATAAGTGATTACCACAAACAAGGATTTTGCAATCTGTCTTTCGCAGTTTGTCTTTTCAGAGATGGTGACTTTGAAGCTTGTAGTTATGTGTTACAAATGGAATCCTTAGAATTGTAAAGTTCTATGTGACTTTATTATTTTACACAACAATATTACTTTAACTATAAAAAAAATACAAAGTTGAAAAGTGCTTTGAGTGTATTGAAGGTCAAAAATGTATGACTCAGTATCTTAAACTGACAGAATGCCTTAACATACGGGGGTCTGATTTCTCTGTCCTGTATTGTTATTGGGTTGAATTAAACTACAAACTACCCACTTTAAAAAAAAGAGGATTTTAAGGCTTATTAAGGGTTATTTTTGGGATTATTGGGTAATTAAGGGTTCTTAGCTTCCAAAAAGAAAAGGAAACACTGTCCTTAAGGGTTCTAAATGTTCTAAAAGTCTAAAAAAAGACCAACAGGTAAGACATTCTTGTCTGTCATCCTGCAACCATCGTACAAGATAAACTAGAACAGTTGTAGCTTCCATTACATAGTTGCTTATTTTTATATATATATTGACAGTATTTCAACAATTGCCCTTAGACTTCCATTTTAAGTGATCAAATTCTTGTTCTTGTGATATGACTGATACATGCCGTATATGGGAACAATTACACTGACAAACGCTGAGCGTTTCTTTTAAGTGTGGTGAGGCTGAACGTTAATTGCTGTTTTTCTGTAGGCCGTCTGAACTGGTGGTCCACTATATGTACGAGCTGTAAGAAGCTCCTGCCATTAGCAACTACTGGGGATGGCAACTGCCTACTGCATGCTGCTTCCTTAGGTAAGCTTTATATCCTAACTAGTTGATTTAAAATCTCTTTATGCAGTGTTACAGTGCTGCAGAACTCCCATTCCCACAGCTTAAATATGCCTAATCTAATAAGCCAGTGCATGATGACAGGTGTGTCTTTTGCTTGTTTGTCAGGAATGTGGGGCTTCCACGACAGAGATCTGGTGCTGAGGAAGAGTCTGTATGCTATGATGAAGAGTGGGGCAGAGAGAGAGGCTCTGAAGAGGAGGTGGAGATGGCAGCAGACACAGCAAAACAAAGAGGTCTGACACTCCTGAACCACCTTCCTTATAATGCAGCACTACGTCTGATTTCACACTAGGTTTTTTTTTTTTTCACCTTTTGTACTGAAATGAAAAAATTAGCTCTTGTGACGCCTACACTATACCGCAAATTAGCTAATTTATCTATTTATGAATTTAATTAGATTAGATTGATTTCTCAGTATTGGCCAGAAGCAGGCCTTGTGATTTGAATGCTTCAGACCTTTTGGAAACATAATGTTGTGACAAAAAAAAAAAACCCACAATTTTAAAGGCAGCTGCATTCTCTGCCTGCCTTGTACACATTTTCTTAAAGGTTCATATGTAAAAGGTGCTGGCAAAAAAAGCATGACAAAGACAAAAAAAAAAATGCTTAATATAAAAGCAAGGACAAATTCATATTCAGCTGGAGGTCATAATGGGTAATGTTCTGTCTCTGGGGTTATTTGAGTATCTCTTTTGAGTTTTTTTTATTTATGTCATATTTTCCTAGCCTCCTTAGCAGTGACTATTCCCTTAAGTGCTACTGTAGATGAGCAGCTGAAAGATGTTTACTATTAAGCCTTGATTCTTACAATCAGACTTCACTGAAGTGGAAACAGGCAGTAGCTAAGGCTTGTACAAGTCTTTCCTTTTTATTTGAACCTGCAGTGTCCCTGAATGCCCTCCTGTCATCACATGTCATGTCAGTCTTGTAAACAGTGCGAGTGAATACAGTTATTTGAAAGGTGTGGGTGTGCAGTGTGGTTTGACTGATCTATATTGTAGAGAAGGTGGAGATGGTTCAGTGTGTGTGTGAGAGCAGAAGAGACAATGTAGAAGTGGATGTGTTTCCATTCCTTACCTCATTCACCGTTACCCTCTAACTAGCTCTCTTGCTCTTTCTATAGTCAGGGTTGGTGTATACTGAGGAAGAGTGGGAGAGAGAGTGGAATGAACTGCTGAAGTTGGCCTCCAGTGAGCCTCGCACACACATCAGCAAAAATGGCAACACCAGTGGAGGGTAAAGCTCGCCAGCCCACACACACACACACACACACACACACACACACACACACACACACACACACACACACACACACACACACACACACACACACACAC